CAGAACCTGGGGCAGGTGTTGGTCTGAGCCCTAGGAGTGTGGGCAGAGGGAGGGGGTGTCTGTGGGGCGAACACGGGAGGTCTGGGGACAGTGGCCGGGCTTCATGCGCGGGGTCAGGTCAGGGGGCAGTGATGGGGCGTCCGTGGGGCCCATAGTGGAGGTCTGTGTGTGGAGCCGGGACTGGAAGTCTTCCTGGCAGAGTGTGGGGGGCCCGTGGCGAGCCAGGACGGGGGTTCTCTAAGGAGCCCTGTGTGGGGGGTCCCACAGGACGGGGATGGCTCGGACCCAGAGCCTCCAGATGCGGGGGAGGACAGCAAGTCGGAGAACGGGGAGAACGCGCCCATCTACTGCATCTGCCGCAAACCGGACATCAACTGCTTCATGATGTGAGCCGGGGCGCGGGGGGCGGGGCTGCACCTGTCCGGCCCCACGGCCGGGTGGGGCGATGGTCCAGCCGCTCATCCCCACCGCCCGCCCCTTCCCCTGCAGCGGGTGCGACAACTGCAATGAGTGGTTCCATGGGGACTGCATCCGCATCACGGAGAAGATGGCTAAAGCCATCCGGGAGTGGTACTGCCTGGAGTGCCGAGGTGAGGGGCCGGGACAGGTAGGCGGGAGGGGCTGAGAGGGGGGAGGAGGAGCCCTACTGGGGGGCTGGGTCAGGGGGAGTAGGGGTATGGTTCTGCGGGCAGGGTGATGGTTCTGTGGTGAGCCAACACAGAGGACCCCACTGGAGGGACCCCTCTGCCCCAGAGTAGGGGGGAGAGCGCCATTGGGTGGGACAGAAGAGAAGAGGAATAAAGTTCCGAGACAAGCCAACCCCCCCAATGCCAACCCACCCTGGCCCACAGAGAAAGACCCCAAGCTGGAGATCCGCTATCGGCACAAGAAGTCACGGGAACGGGACAGCAATGAGCGAGACGGCAGTGAGCCCCGGGATGAGGGTGGAGGGCGCAAGAGGCCTGCCCCGGATCCAGACCTACAGCGTCGGGCGGGGTCAGGCACAGGGGTTGGGGCCATGCTTGCTCGGGGCTCTGCTTCGCCCCACAAATCCTCTCCACAGCCCTTGATGGCCACACCCAGCCAGGTGAGTGGCTGTGGTGGCTGGGATAGGTAAGGTGATTCCAGCTCAGGCCCTACCTGGGTTCTTGATTTGTGTTCCGGGCCCCTTCCCTCAGCATCACCAGCAGCAGCAACAGCAGCAGCAACAGCAGCAGCAGCAGCAGCAGATCAAACGGTCAGCCCGAATGTGTGGCGAGTGTGAGGCCTGCCGGCGCACTGAGGACTGTGGCCACTGTGACTTCTGCCGGGACATGAAGAAGTTTGGGGGCCCCAACAAGATCCGGCAGAAATGCCGGCTGCGTCAGTGCCAGCTGCGGGCCCGGGTGAGCATGGGCAGAGCTGGGCAGGGTCAGGTTAGGGGGCCAGTGTGTGCAGGAAGAGGTGACTGATGCTAGAATTGGTGCACTAGGTGGGTGGGGCTTAACTGCATATAAATAGGTGGAAAGGAGCCTGGCCTATCCACATGAATGGGGCATGACCTAAGTGCTGATCTAGCAGGGGAGCCCCCCAACCCCAGGTGGGCAGGGTAGGCTAAGTGTTTCTAGGTAGTCAGGCATGTCAGGGCAGGTAGGGCAGGGCTGAGCATGTCCTGGCTATCGGGTCGGGGTGCAGGTGTGCCTGGGATGGCAAGGTAGGCTAGTTGGTGGGCTGGGCACGTGTTGGAGGGACTAGGGAAGAGCCACCCTCCGTCCACCTGGGGCTGAACTGGGCCTTCCTCCTGCCGGCACAGGAATCGTACAAGTACTTCCCTTCCTCGGTGAGTCCAGCCTCCCAGGGCGGGGCGGGGCATGCGGGCAGATTGTTCAGGGCCAGTCCTGAGATTCTGCCCTGCAGCTCTCGCCAGTGACATCGTCAGAGTCCCTGCCAAGACCTCGCCGGCCACTGCCCACCCAGCAGCAGCCACAGCCATCACAGAAGCTGGGACGCATCCGTGAGGACGAGGGGGCAGTGGTGTCATCAGTAGTCAAGGACCCACCTGAGGCTATAGCCACACCTGAGCCACTCTCAGATGAGGACCTACCACTGGACCCTGACCTGTACCAGGACTTATGTGCAGGGGCCTTTGATGACCACGGCCTGGTGAGCAGGCAGAGCATCCCATGGTGGAAGGGTGGAGGTTACAGAAGCAGAGTATCCATAATGAAAGGAGAGGAGGCAGAGGGTATGGAAGGCTGATTTGGGAACTGAGTAGGTGGTGGGGTAGTCATGAGTGGGGCAAGGGGGTCAGTGTATGCCTCCCTTGCAGCCCTGGATGAGTGACACAGAGGAGTCCCCATTCTTGGACCCTGCGCTGCGGAAGAGGGCAGTGAAAGTGAAGCATGTAAAGCGTCGGGAGAAGAAGTCTGAGAAGAAGGTGATGGAGAGGGTGAAACATGTGTGCGAAGGCAGAGGGCAGGGGGCTGAATGGGGTGAGAGCCAGAAAGGGGTGGGATGCGGGGGAGACGGGTATGGGGCTGATTTCAACTCTACCCTATCCTGACCTGCGTTGTCCCATAGAAGGAGGAGAGATATAAGCGGCATCGGCAGAAGCAGAAGCACAAAGACAAATGGAAACACCCGGAGCGAGCCGATGTCAAGGATCCGGCATCGCTACCGCAGTGCCTGGGGCCTGGCTGTGTGCGCGCTGCACAGTCCACCTCCAAGTATTGCTCAGATGACTGTGGCATGAAGCTGGCAGCCAAGTGAGTCATTCTTGGAGGGTTCAAGGGAGTGGGGAAGTATAGGACAGGGCTTGATAAGATCCCGCTGTATGTCTGCCAGTTACCTGTCTACCATTCAGTCAACCAAGCACCCACCTACCTGTCCACCCATCCATCCACCATTCGGTCACCTGTTTACTTATCTTCACCATTTAGTCACCCAGCCATTCTGTCATCTTTGGCTCACCCCACTTACTTGTTGCTTGCCACCTTTCTACCTGCATCACTGCTTCCTGCAGTCGCATCTACGAGATCCTCCCCCAACGCATCCAGCAGTGGCAGCAGAGCCCCTGCATTGCTGAAGAGCACGGCAAGAAGCTCCTTGAACGCATTCGCCGTGAGCAGCAGAGTGCCCGCACCCGCCTTCAGGAAATGGAGCGCCGATTCCATGAGCTTGAGGCAATCATTGCACGCGCCAAGCAGCAGGCTGTGCGAGAGGATGAGGAGGTGAGCAAGCATGGCATGGCATTGCAGGGCCCAGTACTTGGTCCTTCCTGGCCTCATCATTCCTTCCATTCCATGCAGAGCAACGAGGGTGACAGTGACGACACAGACTTGCAGATCTTCTGCGTCTCCTGCGGGCACCCCATCAACCCACGTGTTGCCTTGCGCCACATGGAGCGCTGCTATGCCAAGGTCAGGGTGTCAGCCTGCAAGGGCAGATAGTGTGGGAACATCGGTGGGTCCTTGGGGGACAGATGTGTTGTTTGAGTACTGTATTGGGAGGGCATGCAGCACACATCCACAGTTTTTTCCATTTGTGCTCATCCTTCCAGTATGAGAGCCAGACGTCCTTTGGGTCCATGTACCCCACACGCATTGAAGGGTGAGTGTGGGTGCTATGCAGACTTTGAGCAAGTAGGTTAATGCTGGGGTCAGAAGTAAAATGTTGGGGTAGGATATCATGATGGGTATGATAGATGGTCCCCTTTCCTTCTCCCCCTTTACTATTCTCTCTCTACTCCAAACCCCCAGGGCCACACGACTCTTCTGTGATGTCTACAATCCTCAGAGCAAGACATACTGTAAGCGGCTCCAGGTCTTGTGCCCAGAGCACTCACGGGACCCCAAAGTAAGGTTTTCCCTCAATTCCTCACATTCTGTCAATCCTCCCTTCCTCACTGCCCTGCATCCCTTTCTCCCCACCTCTCCTCCTTCCTTTCCTACCTGACCACTTTCATAATGCCCATCTGGCTCATCACCTCCTATTCCTCCCCATGTCCCTGCCTCTTTATCCTCTACTAGAGGCCTGGTGCACGAAATTCATGCACTCAGGGTGGGGGCGGGGCGGGTCCCTCAGCCCAACCCGCGCCCTCTCACAGTCCAGAGAACGGGCCTAAGTGGGCAGTCGGAC